ACTACCAGACCTAACAATCCTATTACAGCAACTCTTGAATATTCCAAAACAGCAAAAATATAAGACCTAATAATCAAATTTATCAAGATGATTGAGTACCTTAAAAAGGAAGTGAATAAAACCCATGAAGAAGAAATTCAAGAAAACACAAAGAAAAAAATAGAGGAAGTAAATAAATTCCTTTAAAAATGCAAACAAAAAAATAGTTGAAGGAAATGACTAAAATGGTTCAAGACAAGAAAAATAGAAACAGAAGCAATATAGAAAATACAAATGGAGAGAAATGTGGAAATAAATAAAATTCATGTACACAAACGGGAACCACACCAAACACAGAAACATCATCAAGCACAATAAAAGCTATGAAAGTGAGACTGTGAGGGGTTGAAGCTACTATAGAAGAAATAGCTAGTCAAAGATAATTCTAAATCTTAAAATTCCCGACACAAAGGCTCTATCACCCTGGGGAGACTGGAAGAGAGACACACACAAGCCAATCATCTGCCCCAGCCCCAAAGCAGCTCCAGACTGGTTAGGTAAGACCAGATGAGAGACCCAAGCACCAGCCCCAAGTCCTGCAGAGGGAGCTACTTTGATGAGTGAATGTGTGATGGAAAGATGGGAAAGAAGAATAAGGTGGAGAGATGTGAAAGTGTAGATAGGATTGCAGTGAGGGACAAGTGGGATATAAGGAGCCTACACAGCCACTTGAGGTCATGGTGATGTCTGGGCCCAGGCTGCTCCCAAGGGTCAAGTCTCAATCCATTTCCCTACTATGGCTGGAGCCTATGCTGATGTCTTTTGGCCGTGATGCTACTGAAGGACATCTGGAGGTCAGTGATATGGTATGCTGCCTGGGACCGTGTTGATGTCTGGAGACCATGATGACACCAGGGATCATGCTGCTACTTGAGACCATATTGATCCCTTGGCTAAGGTTGTAGCTGAATAAGTCTTAGTCCATCATCCTGATGCAGCAGAAGACGATGTCAAGATACATGGCCAAAATTACCATCAAAGGCCATGTGGATGTCAGTGGCATGGGCTGCCACCTGAGATCATATGGATATCTCAGGGCCATGCTGCCACTGGGAGACATGTTGACCTGAGTGCCATTTACTGCCACCTGAGGCCATGGTGACATCTGAGCTAAAGTCCATGTCTGGATCCATGGTCCTATTGCAGCCAGTGTCTATGTGAATATCCAAGGCTCAACCAAAAACATGGGGATTTTCCTGATGTGACATTCCCAAGACAGTATTGATTTCTAAGCACTGTGCTGACCTGACCCTTCGTCTTGACAGCCACCATACTCAGAAGAGGTGTCTCCACCCGTCACTTGCTGCAGCACATGGGAGAGCCTACCCCCCATATGCCATGCATTGGCATGGGTGAGAAAGAGATGCCCCTCTTCTTTCCTCCCTACTACCTGTGGCAGGAGGGTGAGAGTTGACCCTACCAATAGCAGACCCCACACTTAGCCTAAACAGTACAATAGAGATTGTGGGAGAGCTGGTAGGATGACAAACTCAGCTTAGGCCCAGGCCCAGATGCAGTGCTCTGAGTTGGCCCATCCAAACATCTACCCCATTGATGAATTTATGGAGTATGTATGTGAAATGGTTAGTCCTGTAGAAACAAACTTCAAGATCTCCATGACCCAGGGAAGAAACAAAACATCTAAGAGGACTCCTGATGAGGATCCAGCATTGATAATGTAGCAGAAGCCAGAGGCCTCAAAGCAGACAAATTATTCATTTCAATGAACAGTTGCAAATAAAGCTGTTTGGGCAGAAGTGTATATAGTGTGATACACCATAACGTACCAGTTTCCATGGTGATACATTTTGTTTTGTTTTGGGAGAGGTTGCAAGCCTGGAGGGTAGATATGAAGGTACAGGATACGAGTGAGATTGAAATGCATGATGTGAAATTCACAAGAATTAAGAAAAAGTTAATACAATAAAATATGGAAAAAATTCCTAACACAAAACATTCAGGAAATCTGAGACACTAGTAAAAACCAAACCTGAGAATAATAAGAATGGAAGAAGAAGAAGATTTCCAAATCAAAGACCCAAAAAATATTCTCAACAAAATCATAGAAGAAAATTTTCCTAGCTTAACGAAGAAGATGCCTATAAATGTACAAGAAGCTTACAGAACATGAAATAAATTGATCCAGAAAATAAAGTACCCTTATCACATAACAATCAAAACACTAAATATCCAGAACAAAAAAGGAGTATTAAAAGCAGCAAGGGAAAGGATCAAGAAACATAAATACAAAAGCAAACCTATAAGAATTACACCCAGCTTCTTAATAGAGACTCTAAAATCTGGAAAAGCCTGAACAAATGTTCTGCAGGATCTAAGAGATCACAGATTTCAGACAAGAATGCTGTACCCAACAAGGCTTTCAATCATGATAGAAAGAGAAAAGAAGGTATTCCATGATAAACTAACATTTAAACAATATCTATTCACAACTCCAGCCTTATAGATGGAACTTGAAGGAAAACTCCAACCTACAAAAACACAAGCAATAATCTCATACCAGCAAAACAAAGTAAACAAGAGACAACTTCCTGAACAGAAAACTAATATCACAGACATTAAGAAGAACAATCGATAACTGGGACCTCATGAAACTGAGAAGCTTCTGTAAGGTAAATGATGGTATCATCAGTAAGACAAAATAGCAAGGAAAGAATGGGAAAAGATTTTCACCAACTCCACATCTGATTCAGGCTAATGTTTAAAATATACAAAGGACTAATATCCAAAATGTATTAAGCATTCAAGAGTCTAGACTTCAATAAACCAAATAATTCAATTAAAAAATTTAGGTCTAAACAGAGAATTCTGAACAAAGGAAACATTTGAAGAAATGTCCAACATCCTTAAACATCAGGAAAACGAAAATCAAAACTACTTTGACATTCCATCTCAGTATGCCTGTCATAATGGTTATGATGTCACACAAGTGACAGCTCATGCTGATGAGGATGTATAACAAGGGAAGCATTAATCCATTGCTGGTATAAACACAAATTTGCACAGCTGCTATGGACATCCATATGGAGATTCTTCAGAAAATTGGGTTTCAATCTATCTCAAGACACAGCTGTACCACTCTTGGCATATACCCAAAGGACTCTCCATCCTACTGCAAGAATACTTGTTAACTATTCATACCTACTTTATTCATAATAGGCAGAAACTGGAAACAACATAGGTATCTATTAACTGAAGAATGGATAAAGAAAGTGTGATACATTTACACAATAGAGTATCACTCGGCTGTTAAAAGTCAACAATATGAAATTTTCAGGAAACAGAAAAAACTAGAAAAAAAATCATCTTGAGTGAGATAGCCTAGACCCAGAAAGATAAACATGGTATGCACTCAAGTATAAGTAGACATTATCTATTAAGTAAGTGATAATAGTGATACAGTCCACAGACCCCAAAAGCCTAAGTAACAAGGAAGGCTCAAAGGAGTACACATGGATCTCCCTGGGAAGAAGAAATATAATGGCTTTGGTGGATGGGCTGGGGGCAGGTGGTGATGAGACAGGAGAATTGGGAAGAATGAAAAAGAAGAGAGAGAATACTGGGAGAGATGATTGCAATTGGGGGCATTTGGGTGGCAATGTAGAAATCTAGTGCAGTGGAAACTCCCTAGAACCTATGAGAGTTATCCTAGCAAAATCTCCTAGTAATAGGGGATATGTAGTCAAAATTGGCAATCTTCTGTAATCCAGCAAGGCTCTTAGCACTGAGACTTGCACATCAAGCCAGACAGAAAACCTTCAACCTACAAATATGCCCTGCCTACAAGATGTGCTGAGGTAATTGTGGCACAGAACTAGTGAGAGGGTCCAACCAATTACTGTTCCAACTAGAAGCCCATCCCATGAGAGGAAGCCTATACCTAACACTATGTGAATGGCCAGGAACCAGAGGCTAGTCAACCCAGAGATCTAGGCTAGAACAAAATACAACTGGTACAAAAAATTAATGAAATAATTCCTAATGATATTCTGCTATACTCAGATTGTGCCTAACCCTATAGTCATTAGAAAGGCTTCTTCTAGCAATTGATAGTAGCAGATTCAGAGAACCACAGTCAAACATTTGGTGGCAAGAGATCCCAAGTTGGAGCTCTCTACCAGGTACCTCCTTCCCTTGGAGCTCAGGGAACCCTTTGAAAACTGAGAAGGAAAGTTGAGGAATTGTAGGAGACAGGGTGCCAAGGAGACCAGGAGAACACAGCCCACAGAACATACTAAGTAGGGCTTTTAGGGGCTCATAGAGAGTTAAGCAAAATTCCTGACACTACGTGGGTCTGAGCTAGGTCCTCTGCATATGTTATGGTTGGTTAGCTTGATGTTCTTGTGTAACCCCTAACTGTGTGGAACTCTGACTATTTTGCCTGCACTTGGGACCCTTTTGCCCCACTGAGTCACCTTGCTCAGCATTTATATAAAGGTTTGTACCTAGTCTTACTATAATTTGTTATGCCATGTTCATGTTTGGTTGATATGCCTTGGAGGAATTTTTATTTGAATTTCCCTGATGACTAAGGATGTTGAACATTTCTTTAAGTGCTTCTCAGCCATTTGAGATTCCTGTTGAGAATTCTTTGGTTACCTTTGTACCCCATTTTTAACTGGGATACTTGGTTTTATTTGGAGTCTAATTTCTTGAGTTCTTTGTATATTTTGGATATTAGCCCTCTATTAGATGTAGGGTTAAGTTTTAACTGCTTCAAAGTTCTGGCCAAGTCTGTCCGTGGATAAATGCACAGAATTAGCAGCCCATTCAGGAATAAGATTGATCAGTGTGTCCCAAAGAGAGGGAGGGTGGAGTAGTGTGATATGGATAAGATAAAATGAACTGCATACATCTATGTAATTAACAAAGAAAAATAAAAATATTTAACAAGAATAAATAATGTAAGTTTTGCTGAATTACAAAATAACCAAAGACACTCATGTTCTGATTGCTTATTTTATTTTAGTACATTAGGTAGAAGTAAGATGGTCCAAGAAAAGGTCAAGAGACACTACACAGAGCCCCTGGAGAAAGGTAGCAGATAGTGGTCTTGTCTAGCTCAGCAAAGTTGGCTGCTCTTGAAGACAGATTCTGCCTGGCAGTTCTGGAATGTGATTCCATTCAGGCAGTGCCAGATGCTACTTGTGTTATTTGCTACTGAGTTGCAACACAGGCTCCAATGCCCCAGAGCTGTTGTTCCTGCTACCAGTCACATTGGCTGGAAGAGCAGTAACTTTGCAACCTAAAACATACAGCATAAATAGCAGATCAATTTCATGTGAGGAGAATGACTGCTCTTAAAAAAGAGAACTGGGCAGGAGGAAGTGGCCTGGTGTGTTGGTACAATGAACTCAAGGGTAGATCAGGTAAGATCAGAAATTACAAGCAGTTATTATATCAAGCCTGCCTAACTCACAATTTAAAAAGTTGACCTCCCTTTGATGGGTAATTTTATGTCAACTTGACAAAAGCTAAAGTCTTCTAAGGTGAGGAAACCTCAATTAAGAAACTTCTTCCATAAGACTGGGATGTAGTCAAGTTTGTAGAGCAATTTTTTAACTACTGATTGATGTGGGAGGACTAAGCCCATTGTGGGCGGTGCCATCTCTGGGATGGTAGTCCTGGGTTCTATAAGGAAGCAAGTTGAGCAAACAATGGGAACAAGGTAGTAAGTAGCACCCCTCCTCTATGGCCTCTGAATCAGCTCCTGCCTCCAGATTCCTGTTCTTCAGGAGTTCCTGCTCTAGCTTCCTTGATCAACAGTGAAGTGGAAATCTAAGCCAAATAAATCCTTTCCTTTCCAAGCTGCTTTTAGTCATGGTGTTTCATCACAGCAATAGTAGCCTTAACTAAGCCATTCTCACTATAATCAGTTAAGAAATAGCCACTGACACCAGGGTATATACAACCTTTCAGGAGGGTATGTATAAGTAACAAACAAATGCATTTTTTAAAAAAAAAGTCTGAAATAAATATAGGTATTAGAAATCCCCATGAATAATAGGTTAGATTTATGAGAGTACTGGCTAGGGATTCCTATTAAACCTTCCCAGGACTCCTGGCTGTCCTAGAAACAAGAAAAGAAAAAAACTAAGAAGTCCTGGTTTCCCATAAAATATAAAATTGCTGGCTGGTGGTTAGCAGTTACAGAAATAGTAAGATTCTCACTGGGAAAAAGCCTGGCATGTCAAGGCTTCTTTGAGTTGATGAAGGAACACTTATATACCTTCTGCGTACTCTTACTATCACTTACTTGCACTCTGCACTTTGAGGGTTTTCTTCAAGGTGGAGGTCAGGGGAAATGTGCCCTGATCACAAAAAGAGCCAGTGTAATCATCCATATCAATGGCCCAAATCATAGCACCTCCAAAGTTGTTCAATTTAAGCCACTGAGCCTGGTTAAGAAAAAAAGACAGCAGGAGTCGCTTGGTTTCCTGGGACTCAGAGTCAGGGCCCAACAGATCCAAGGAACTAACCTTACCTTGATATGAAAGCTCTTGATATTGTCATAACCAACCCACTCATTGCCATGGAAGGCATAGGGCACTTGCTGAGCAGCATTCCAGATCTGAATGGCTCCATTTTTCAGGAATGTGCAAATCTTTAAAAAGTTAAGAATTTTAGATCCTTTAAATATTAATTCCATGTAAGAAAAATGTGTATATTTATTTGATTTCTTTCCTTTTATTACCTCCACAAGGTTTACCTCAAATATGTTATTGATTAGATTTCTAGGAAACTATTCTTACAAATTAGTTAGGAATATTTGGATTGTTTTATTTTGTATACTAGAGATCCCCCACAAGGCCTTTCCAATGACAAATAAGGACTTTACCGATGAGTTACATCCACAGTTCTTTTTTGTTTGAGAGAAGATCAATGTCTATGTTGACTCACTTCTAAACGGTGATAATCTTACCTCTGTCTCTTGAATACAGAGTTAATGGGGGTGAGGCACCATGCCTTCCAAATATATTCATAATATATTACTATATACTATGAGCCCATTTTTTATTTCTGTGATACTGGGGACTTAAGCCAGTGCTGTGTGTGTTCTAGGCAAGAAATGAAGAACTGAGGTATATTTTCATGTTTTTTAAATGTTCACAAATGACCCACAATTTTAGTTTTTGGTTTTGGGACCCATGGTATTCTGAGATGTTTGTGTATGTATGTATGTATGTATGTATGTATGTATGTATGTATGTATGTATTTATATAAATGTGTGATCTGCTAATTGAAAGAATAATGTGTTATTAAATGCTTGTCACTTTTGGTTACTTGGAAGCTATGTCATAAAAAAATTAAGTCCTTAAAGTAACATTCTACTCAGTGTAAGAAAAAGGCAGAATAAGCATTTAGAGTGAGCATATTTGTCTACTTAGGCATATAAAATTTATAGAGCACTGTACAACCAACTACTAACCTCATAATAGGCCCAGAATCCAGTTTTCTTTGTGTAGGGTCCTGGATGGCCACCACGATTGCTAGGGGCACCAATTTCTGTTTTGGTGAAGTCACTCAGGATGAAAGTGTGTCCATATGCTGGGAATCCAACAATGAGCTTCTCAGGTGATGCCCCTTTGTTCTTCCAGTTGTTCATAATGTATTTCTGCAGTGGCAAAAATTAGGTATAATGTTCAAGACATTGATCTACTATTGATCATCTATGATTAGTTATGTTGGCTATTTATTTTGACCATTCAAGTTTCCATATGAACCTAAAAATGACTGGTAATTTCTTATAAAACATTTCAATAAATTTGAATTTTATAGTCAATGAGACATGATTGGTGACTTTAAACAATAAGATTTGCATTAATTGTGTTGATTTTGTGCCTAAATCAATGTATGATTTATCTCGTCACTTGTCTGTGCAATATCTTACAATGTTGTGAAAGGCTTTGACTCCAGTTTCAGTTGGAGATTTATAGAGAGGACTGTTTTCTCCAGTGTAGCCATCCCAAGATCCATGGAAATCATAGGTCATGACTTGAATATAGTCCAAGGACCTAGGTAAGTGGAAATTACTTAAAATCATTTGTTTTATATTTTTATTTTATTTATCTTACTTATTTATATCCCAAATAATGCCCCCTTCCAGTCTCCTCTTGCAAAGTTTCTACCACCACCCCACTCTTCATCTCTGAAAGAGTGCACCTCCTGAGCATCTCCAGTACCTGGGGCATCACATCTCTATAAGATTAGGCACATCCTTTCCCACTGAGGCCAGACAAAGCAGTCCTCTGCTACACATATGCTGGGGACCTCATAGCAGCTTGTGTTTGCTCTTTGCTTGGTTGCATTATCTCTGTCAGATCCTAGGGATCCAGGTTAGTTGATAGTGTTGGTCTTCCTAGACAGTTGCTATCCCCTTCAGTTCCTTCAATTCTTCTCCTAACTCTTCCATAGGGGTCCCTGACTTCAGTTTAATGTTTAGCTGTGAGTGTCTGGATCTTTCTCAGTCAGCTTCTGGAAGACCCTCTCAGATTAAAATCATTTCTTATGACTATTTTCCATACCCATTCCAGCAAGGAATGGCCTTTCCAAGGTCTCTGAACAAAACCTTAGATCAGTAGACATCCCAAGGATAAGAAAACTGCCCACACTATAGTAGTACAGGGCAAGGTACATCACTCACTGTGACAGTTGGGGTATCTCATAGCCAAACTGGATTGTGGGGATAACACCAGCAACTGCAGCAGTGACTATCAGCCTGGATTTTTTGTTCTTTCTCACTTCCTTTTCAAAAGCTTTACGTATTTCCTATAGAGTAATAAGGTGTAACACAATATATTTGGAATTAATTTAGCTCCTTAAATAAAATGCACGATAAAGTACTTTTACATATTTTATTTTACTTTAGTATGCCAACATTTCAATAAAGTTATTGGGGTAAATGATGTTAGTAAACTTAACACATGCCTAATATTCATAGGTAATAGAGGTTTTCCCCAAAGTTATACAAAAATCAGCAGCCATTCAAGGAAAAGGGCTTAGATATCCATCAATGCATCCCTGGATCATCATGCTCTAGAACTACATTTGCTTTGATGCACTAGATCCAGCTTTCAATTGTGTAGAAATTTGCTTTCATCTGTTCAATAGATGCCCTTTTTATGAGACTGATATTCATTTCAATGGAAGGGAGAAAAACAGCTAAAAGACAGATAACTTTTAGTATCAGATGGTACTTCCTTCATGTGTTCTGTGATTCAAATATTACTTAGAATATTAGATTTTACTCTTATTACAACATTATTTGGGAGTGCTAGAAGGTATTGAATAGAAAACCTCAGAAAACTGTCATGTATGAAGTAGTTAAAGTGACTAGGATGTTCTACTAGAAGATGCATTATAAGCAAGGTATTTCACTGTATTTAACTATTGAACCCATATATTGTATGGTATATGATTTTGTTCTCCATTGTGTCAATGAGGGAAAAATAGAACAGTGCCCAGAAATTATAAATATACTGGAAGCATGATTTATCTAAGAGTCTAGATACTGTTTTTTGATAGTAAAATCTGTTCAACAAAAAGTAAATTGCTACTGTAGAACCTTAATAATATATACACATGCATACAATCAAAAATAGTTAAAATGGAATTACAGTATAAGTCAGCAATAATGTACGAAAAATTAATTAAAGGCAAAATGTCAGAAAGGAGATACCTCTTTGGGAGCTGTTGGCTAGTGTGTTCCCACAGATTACTTGTCCTCCTAAAATTATTGGTAAGACACTATTGCTAAAAACATACATGATTAAGTCATAGAATATGGAGAAATCAAGTTGGCATTCACTTGTAAGCTTCATCCATACTAGCTAATTTTGTGGTGTTAGAATATGCTGTAAATGCTACTGAAGTAAAAAAAGTAATTATCCAGCTGTGAACTCTGAGACTTAGAGTAATAACAGGATTGGGAAGACATGTACCCATGTAGACTTTCTAATTGGATTTGGGGCCCAGTCCACAAAATAAAACCCACATTTGAAATTATTATCAAAGCAAAGAACTTATGACTACACAAGTCATAGATTCTAGGGAAGAATCTGCTATTATTCTGTTAAATGGACATAGATGAAACCAACTACAAATGACCAGTCACCATAGCCATAGACTGCATCTCTCAGCTCTCATCAGAGAAGATTATATTTATAGTAAATAGACTAAGACAAAGACACACAATAGGACAAGGTGCAAAGAGGAAGTATGCTTTTGAATGCTCAACTCAAAATTGGTCATTACAATCCCTCATTCAGATCCTGGCTGATAATCTCCTGTTCATATGAATAGAAAGAAACTTTCTTGCAAGAGTAAGAGTAACCATAAAACCTACAGAGGCTTATAGATTTTTTTCTGCAAGAGGGTCAGAAAAGTTATATTAACTAGAGGTGGTTAGATGACCATAAGGAAATAGTGTTTCTGAACACAGAAGTACAGATACTCATATGAATTCACAGGAATTGTGACAATATTCATACAACCTATATATACATAAGCCAGACAAAATTCTGGCATAGAGAAGTGTTGGGGTAGGGACAGCCAATTTTTTTTTAAGAGTCCAGACACTAAGAAATTGGTCATGCTCCAATGGAAGGCCACTTCCAAGAACATGGGGGCAATAAACATTGGACTAGATCAGTTTTTAAAAATAGAACACAAATCTATTTTGCTAGCAACAGAATCTTGGAGGAATTGGCAGGGAGCAAATATGATCAAAACACATTTAATGAACTTCTCAAAGAAGTAGTAAAAATGTTCTCACAGATTCATCTATTTACATACATATATTAACTATCCTTAGTTGCATAGCACCAGACTATTTTCATCACTGAGATAAACCATTTTATGTACTGTAGTGAACTGAATGAACCCTCCCCCCAATAGCCTTGGTAATTTGAATAGGTCACTAGTCAGTGATTTATTTGAAGAAGTTAAGGTAGTACAATCTTGCTAGAGGAAGAATGTCATGAGTGGTGGGAATTTGAAATTAAAAATCATGTCGATCTCCAGTTTGCACTTACAGTTTCATGTTATGGTTCAAACTGTGAGCTCTCAAAATATTGTTCTAGTCACCATGCCTACTGCTTACTTCCATGCTGTCTAACTCTCAAGATCTTCAAGGCAAAATAAACACTTCTATAAGTTGTGTTTGTCATGGTCTTTTATCCCAGCAATAGAAAATAAATAATACTTTGGGAAGCACTTTTTCATTTTTCCATGAACATTTGTTTAAATATACTGTATCATTTTATGCTTTGCATTCCTTTATCATGTCATTCATCAAAAATACTATGCAATCATATTTTAACATGTTTATTTATTCTTTAAGAATTTCACACAATGTATTTTAAACATATTAATTCCCCTCCTTCAACTTCTCCCAAATCATTCTGTACCTTCCTACTAATCCAAGTTCAAACAGTCTTTCACTCTAAGCAAAACAAATCATACAGGCCAGTTTGCATGGACTATCTACTCTTGAACATGGAACTTACCCAGTAATGTGGTTGATATACCCAGTGTCACATACTTAAAGACAATGTATTGTCTCTCTTCTGTTAACAATGCGTTACATATAGCCATTTGGGCAGGGATGAGATTTTATGTCCAATTTGCCCCTTTTTTGCTAGAATTTTGTCTGGTTTGAGCTTGTCCTGCTCTTGTATATGCTAATACAATCTCTGTGACACATGTTCATATGAGTGTTACCATATGTCTAAAAACTCTGTCTCTTTAAAATTATCTACCATTTCTTGCTTTTAAAATAACTCTGTCCACTCCATTTGTGGCTTTCTGTGATATTTAGTCTTCTTCTACTCCAAACAGCAGCTTCTCTGATGAGGGGTAAGTGATTCGCCAAACTATAGGCATAGCAATATGTCATCAGTAGTCACTTTGCTACAATGTTCATTTAGTGGAATAATTGTAGTCTGTTTTCTCTTAGGAACATGGCCTATTTATTCAGATTTTTAGCCTCATTGTCAGGTATGGGTTCTTTCTCATGAAACAGGTTCTAAATATATTCAAAAGGTGTCCAGTTACACTTTTAACATTTGTGCCACTATTGCATTAGTGGGAACAACTTGAAGATAAGTCATTACTGTAGCTTGCATGATTCATAGCTGTGTGCCATTAATCATTAATTTTCTCCTCTGATAGTCTGTATAGCACCTTCAAGCACTATGAATACTAGCAACAGAAAGGAATGTTCCATATGCGAACTATCTATATTTCTCTATGTTCTATGACTCAAGTATGTGATATATTTACCAAAAGTGTTTTGCCATCAAGTTCTGAAGGGTAATCAGTAGCATTACCAATGGTCTGTGTGTGTGTGTGTGTGTGTGTGTGTGTGTGTGTGTGTGTAACACTTGTGGTATAGACATTAACTAATGAAAAATGTGAAGTTGAAACGAATTACATGTCTTAAAACTCATGTGGTCAGGGGCAAAAAGTGTGGTTCAGCAGTTAAGAGCACTGGCACTGGCTTGACCAGTGTTTCTGAGTTCAATTCCCAGGATCCATATGGTAGCTCAAATTTTTCTTCAACTGTAGGCAATGTGATATGACACCATTTCCTGGTGTGTAGTCATACATTCAGAGAAGACACTCATATATATAATACCCAAACAAATAAATCTTCTGTATTGTAAACTGCATATGGTAAAATCAACTAGTATATACCTTGTTGAATGAAGTAATGATATTTAAGAATTTTTGTAATGATTTATAATACTTTATAAATCTAAATTCAGGTTTAGTTTTGTCTTACAATAATTTCCCTTAGAAAGACAAAATTCTAATCTTCTAGGAATAAAAAGCCATTTATTCCTGCTTTCCTTACCTGCATCAGGATAGTAAAGAGGTGTTTGTCCCTAGGAGGGCTTCCATAACAGCCAGGGTATTGCCAAGCCAAGTTAAGCCCATCAAATTCATACTTTCGCAGAAATTTTATAACTGAAGTGATGAAAGAGTGGCGGCTCTCAGGAGTGGACACCATGGTGATAAAACTAAGGGAACCCAAAGAAATCATAATAATGCTTCAGGAATCTAAGCACACTGGGATCAAGATGTTTAATTCATTAATATCTTCCTCTGAGCCTTTGATCAGGACCTTTCCCCCAGATTAAATCTCTGTGGTTCTCAGGGAATCCATGTATAATCTGTGCTTTTGTTCAACTTTCCATTTATTTTATTATTGCTTATTCTAATGTTCTATATATTGAATGCAGCTGTCTTTGTTTTGAATGAAGCTAACATATCTGTGGTTTGGTCTTCAAATAGTTCCCAAATTTATGTGCTTTCAAAATAGTCTTACTGCCTATGCATTTCCATTTTCTATCCCTTCCTTTGTAAACAATAATCAAAAGTATACCAGTTGTTCCTCTGGCTTTGTATTCTGAGATACTTTAAGAAGGAAATCTGTTATGAAATAAGTAACTAAATCTTAGAGGATGGAGTGCCAGAATATTAACCCAAACAGTTAAACATGTGAAATACACACTAATCTTTCCAGTGACTTTTAGTTAATATTGAAGTTCCACTGTAGACACTTATTTAGGTAACATGTTCATTTAGTGAACACTCTTAATAATCTATCAAAAACTGTGTAGGATAAAGAGACAGAAATAATGCTATTCTAGGTTGTCTTCAATAGAATGTGAATGAAAAATCTCTCTGGAGAGGACTTACGAGCCAGGTCCAAAGTTCCAGCAACCAATAGACAGGAGTGTTTTCAGCTTGCTGTTTCTATAAAGCAAAAGAAAAGAGAAATTTCAAATTCCCTGGGTCCTCTTCTTTAAAATGCAACCATCTGTAGTATTGGGCCTGTTCTTATGATTTAATCTTGTCTTGATATTATACAGTAAACTGTTGAACAATTTTTCCATTAATGAAATTTTATTACAATATTTTTGTGTTGCCATAATCTTAAATTACATCAAAGTAACTTGGGAAAGCTAAAGTACAAATTTTTATAAGCTATATTTTACTTTCAAAATTATAATATAATCATAATATTCCTCCCTCCAAACACTTCTATATATACCTTCCCACAGTCTGCTTCAAATTTATGGCCTCTTTGTTCACTAATTGTTATTATAGACCTATAGGAACAAAATTATTTATGAATAGATATATTAAATATTTCCTACATGAGCCCTGTATCTATATCTCTACAACCCCTTACCCTCCCCAGTCCAATTACTCCCATGCTCCTCCTTCAAAATTCATCCAAAGAATGTACTGGGCAATACTTCTAATGCCTACAACTTAGAAGGACAATTAATTCATATCCTGCTCAAAGAAATAAAATGGTATATATTATTAGAAATACCATGTTTTCAGTCTCTATGATTATTAATACAAATTCAATGCATTAGACATACACAGACTCTTTGGAATAGTGGTTTAAAACTATCAATTTCCAAAGTGCATCTTTCATGAGAAGAGAACACTAAAGATTTGGGTGTATTGTCTCTTTTTCTACCTCATTCTGGTTCTGTTGTTTTGGCATAAGGTAATCTTTGATTCAAGAAATCAAAAAGTTGTTATTCTCAGTATAAATAATAACTTAATTTTTAACTATATTCATAATAATACCATTGATCATGGTAGTGATCGCCTTATTTTTATCTTATGTATGAATAAACAGAACAGATATGAAAATTCTAAGGTACCAGGGATTGTGCCATTTTTCACAAAGGATATTTATATTAAAATGCAGAAAATTCTTCTGATTATCAATCAGACTAATTGGTTTCTAATTTATAGAATGGTAAATCTCTTCTTTCCTTCCATAATTCATTGAGACAATGGAGTTTTTGAGTGATTAAATACACAAAAACTGCAAAAAAACATCTAATTTTTAAAATACTAAGCATATATCATAGGTGATATTATGTTACATACACACTTATCTGCAGGTAGAATTATAATATTGGACCACTGTTTCTCATCAAACGTAAGAAGAAGCCAAAGTAAGTTAAAGACATAAATGAAAGTTGTGAAATGAGAACATTACCTGAAAGAAACATGAATAAAGCTCCACAAATGTGGCCTAGACAGTGATTTTTTCAAAAAGATGCTCCACCACACAGGCAACAGAAGGAAAGATGTTCAATGGGATTATGTCATACTACAGATTCTTACGACAAAGCTGACACAATAAACAGAATAAGAAAATAAAATAATGTATGGAAAATTATTTGAAAACTTTATAACATGTGAAAGGTTAATAAACAATATATATCATGAATCAAAAGCTCTGAGTGGTCAAAAGCATCCTGAGTGAAAAACAGGCTAAAATCTTGATGACACATATTTTTAAAACAAGACGAAACACTGATAATGGTATGAACAAAAGTGCTTTAAGACCACAGAGATAATTTTGTTAAAACCCTATGGAAATATTATCTTCACATGCTATTATTACTGTAATAAAACTATGAAATACAACTACATTGTCAAGGAAATCTATTTTTGAAAAAATACTTATAAGCTATTTGTATGGATATACTTTAATGCAGCCAATGTATAAACTAATGTAAACAGTTCTTAAAAAGTTACAAATAGGTGATTGACTTCCAGTCTGGGCCTAAGCACAGAGCAGATCCCAGGCAGCAGCTCTGTATCCAACCCCACAAAACCCAGAGGAAGAGGGCCTCCCAGGAGCTCTAACCCGGGCAGTATCTCAGGTAAGGAGACAGCAACACCTGCCCGAAACAGGGAGTAACTGAGACCCACTGGGACCCAGGAATTCACTCCTGGCCCAGAGCACCGGTTCCTTCTGTTCTCAGCCCAAGAGCTCAGCATATCACAGGAGACAGCTCTGCACCCAATCTCACAGAACCCAGAGGAAGCGAGGCTCCCAGGAGCTCTAACCCAGGCAGTAGAGCAGTATCTTAGGGAAGGAAGCAGCAACACTTGCCCCAAACAGGGAGTAATAGGGATCCACGGGGACCCAGGAATTCACTCCTGACACAGAGCGTTGGTTTCTTCTGGTCTCCACCTGAGCACTGAGCAGATCTTGGGCTTCAGCTCTAACCCCAGCAGCAAAACCCATCCCAAACAGTTCTGACACAACCAAGATAATAGGAAAGACAGGCTCCAGTCAGATAGCACCAAGGATATCCAGACAACAAAAGGCAAGTGCAAGAATATAAGCATCAGCAACCCAAGGCACTTGGCATCATCAGAACCTAGTTCTCTCACGTTAGAAAGTCCTTAACTCCCCATATCACCAGGAAAGCAAGAGCTAGATCTAAGCTCACTTCTAATGATGATGATAGAGGACTTTAAGACGGACATAAATAACACTCTCAAAGAATTTGAGACGAACACAGGTAAACAGGTAGAAGCCCTTAAAGAGGAAACACAAAATTCCCTTAAAGAATTACAAGAGAACACAACTAAGCAGGTGAAGGAATTGAACAAAACCATCCAGGACATAAAAATGGAAGTAGAAACAATAAAGAAATCACAAAAGGACACTACCCTGGAGATAGAAAACCTAGGAAAGAAATCAGGAGACATGGATGCAAGCATCACCAACAGAATACAAGAGATAGAAGAGAGAATCTCAAGTGCCGAAGATACCATAGAAAATATTGACACAACTGTCAAAGAAAATGCAAAATGCAAAAGTTCTTAACACAAAACATCCAGGGAATTCAGGACACAATGAGAAGACCAAACTTAAGGATAATAGGTATAGAAGAGAGTGAAGATTCCCAACTTAAAGGGCCAATAAATATCTTCAACAAAATTGTGGAAGAAAACTTCCCTAACATAAGGAACGAGATTCCCATAATCATACAAGAAGCCTACAGAACCCGAAATAGACTAGACCAGAAAAGAAATACCTCCCGTCACATAATAATCAAAACACAAAATGCACAAAACAAAGAAAGAATATTAAAAGCAGTAAAGGAAAAGGGCCAAGTAACATATAAAGGCAGACCTATCAGAATTACACCTGACTTCTCACCAGATACAATAAAGCCAGAAGATCCTGGACAGATGTCATACAGACCCTAAGAGAACACAAATGCCAGCCAAGGGTACTATACCCAGCAAAACTCTCAATTCTTGTAGATGGAGAAACAAAGATATTCCACGACAAAACCAAATTTACACAATATCTTTCCACAAACCCAGCACTACAAAGGATAATAGCAGGAAAGCTCCAATACAAGGAAGGCAATTATATCCTAGAAAGAGAAAGAAAATAATCCTCTTCCAACAAACCCAAAAGAAGATAACCACATAAACAATGCCTCCACTATTAGCAAAAATAACAGGAAGCAACAATCCCCTCTACTTAATATCTCTTACAACCAATGAACTCAATTCCTCAATAAAAAGGCATAGGTTAATGGATTGGATATGAAAACAGGACCCAGCTTTTTTGCTGAATACAGGAAACCCACCTCAGCAACAAAGAGAGACATTGCCTTAGAGTAAAAGGTTGGAAAACAATTTTTCAAGCAAATGGCCCTAAGAAACAAGCTGGAATAACCATTATCAAATAAAATTGACTTTAAATTTAAAGCTATCAAAAAGGATAAGGGAGGTCATTTCATACTTGTCAAAGGAAAAGTTAACCAACATGAAGTTTCAATTCTTAATATCTATGTGCCAAATGCAAGAGCACCCACTTTCATAAAAGAAACCTTACTAAAGCTCAAAGCACACATTGCACCTGACACAATAATAGTGGGAGACTTCAACACTCCACTCTTAACAATGGACAGATCATGGAAACAGAAAATAAGCGGAGATACAGTGAAACTAAGAGAAATTATGAACCAAATGGACTTAACAGATATCTGTAGAACATTTCACCCTAAAGCAAAAGAATATAACTTTTTCTCAACACCTCACGGTACCTTCTCCAAAATAGATCACATAATTGGTCACAAAACAGGCCTCAACAGATAAAAAAGAAAAAGTGAAATAATCCCATGCATCCTATCAGATCACCATGGTCTAAGCCTGGTCTTCAATAATGACAAAGACAATGGAAAGTCCACATTTACATGGAAACTGAACAACACCCTAATCATTGATAATCTGGTCAGAGAAGAAATAAGAAAGAAATTAAAGACTTTTTAGAATTTAATGAAAATGATGACACAACTTACCAAAACCTATGGGATACAATGAAAACAGTGCTAAGAGGAAAACTTATAGCTCTAAGTGCATACAAAAAGAAACTGGAGAGAGACTAAACTAGCAGCTTGACAACTCAACTGAAAGCCCTAGAACAAAAAGAAGCTAATATACCCAAGAGGAGTAGAAGGCAGGAAATAATCAAACTCAGGGCTGAAATCAACCAAGTAGAAACAAAAGAACTATACAAAGAATCAATAAAACTAGGAACTGGTTCTTTAAGAAAATCAACAAGATACATTAAACCCTTAGCCACACTAATCAGAGGGCACAGAGACAGTATCCAAATTAATAAAATCAGTACTGAAAAGGGTGACATAACAACAGAAACCAAGGAAATTCAAAAAATCATCAGATTCTACTACAAAAGCCTATACTCAACAAAATTGGAAAATTTGGATGAAAGGGACAATTTTCTAGACACATATTAGTTACCAATGTTAAATCAGCAGAAGAAAAAGCATCTAAAGAGTCCAATAACCCCGAAAGAAATAGAAGCAGTCATTAAAAGTCTCCCCACAAAAAAAAGTCCAGGACCAGAGGGTTTTAGGGCAGAATTTTATCAGACCTTCAAGGAA